TGTTGCCACGGTGCACATGGCGCGCGCACTGGACTTGCAATCCAGAGGTGGGCCAGCAATCGAGAACACGTCGGCTCGGGCACGCGCACGGCAAGCCTCGTGGCGAGAACGCTCGTGTCATTGAGAGGGAGCTTGGCGCGCTGCGCTGACACACATCGTGTGTCATCACGCCATTTCATCCGCGGGAGCGCACAGACGAGCCACGGAGCTCGCGTTGCTCTCACAGTGGGGGGTGGTGTGGGTGTGGGGTACGCTCACATCTTGTTCATCTTTGCACATCAGCCTGGGTCACATCTGGAGGCATTGACGCGATCTCACAATACTCCTATGCAAACAGTGCATCCTTTTTTTTTTTAAGCGGGCGAGCGACTCGGCCCACTCGATCATTTCTGGAACGCTGCTTCTAAAGCTGGCTCGGAGTATGGACTATCGGTTTAAGGCACTACCATCAGAGTAGACGTTATGCCTATCCATGCTCATATATTATCGTGCCATATAAAATAGCCCGTGATGGTTGTGGATTATGAAAATAGTTCCCATAACCGCGTTCCGGACTATTTCGGTAGGGACTAACCACCGGTTACTGTTCATTCAAGGGCTAGAAGTAACAGAATGTAACCCTATACTATGTTATATTAAAAATAATGGTATATGTTTATGTAGATATAATAATGTATTAACACCTATGAAGGCTATCATGACACCACTTGACTGGTCATTATTTTCGAATATTTTTTCATTCCATGATTATGCTAGACTACGTTTCATTATGATATTATTACATATAAACTAAAATTGTTTAATTTAAAATTTGAAATAACACGAGTATTATTTCACCACATTTACCTCGGAAAGCCTCCCTGGCTCCCAAGACACCTTTATTATCCTGAGTCGGCTTTGCCTGGTAGGATTGAGATGGTCTCCTTTTATTTGAGTTTGGGTGATGTGTTTACCTTTCTTGTACTTTGCACTGCTATCGTGTTTTTGTGCTGTTTGTTTGTTGTAACGTCCTTCCTGGAAATCTGTGGGTAAAGAGCTTCATAGCTCATCGGATTCCTCCAGCATAAATCAATATTGCGATTCTGATTTTAAGGTGGGTCCTGCAGTGTGGGACCTTGGAGTGTTTTGTTCGTGAGACTTAACCGGGTGAAGCCTTCAGGCTCCGCACAGATAGATTCAAGAATCCAGTGCTGTAATGCCGTATCCTGGTCACCTCGCAGCCCAAGTCCACGACGCCTGTTGTTTCAGCCAGTCTCGAATACAAGCTCACAAAACAGACTCAAACCTGCTTAGCATACGAGCTGTGGCCGAGCACATTCCAGCTGCTTTGGTCGTAAACAACACGATGTGTCAATGTTCCACGCGCTCTCGAGCTTTGTGGCGTGATCTCCATTGAGCGTTGCTCTCTCTCTCTCTTCCTTGCAACAACCCAAGCGCTCAAATTCGTACATAACCTTGAGCAAATGTAAGTAAACGTATTGACCGACCTGTTGTGCCTTAGATAGCGCGGTGTGTTGCGGGTGTTTGCTCAGAAAAGCAGGGTAACAACAACGGAAAAGCGCGTGGCAATAATCATTTAGAATTGATTTTTTTTTGGGTAATTATAAACAGTAATCAACAAATATACGGTAAGCGACGATAATCAGATCACACACACCGAGAAAGGAGTAATCGCACGGGGAGCATTGCCTCGACCTATCCGGTGAGTGGGCTTCGATTAAGTCGGTGGGAAATACATCTTCTCGCCGATTTTGAACACGGAGACATCTGCAGGAAACGGGGATAGAAGCCAAGAGGAGTGTGGAGACGATTCGTCCTCAGCGTACCCGGCCCCACGTGGCTTCCCACGTTCTTAAACAAACAACCACAAACACCGCTTCGTCGTGGCAATTGCTGCCGACGATGGTACACCTCTCCGATTCGGTTGTTTTTAAATCCTTTATATTAAGTTCGCTTGCTTGGGTGCTTGCGCGCTTGCTTGCTTGCTTACGACCGTGCAAATCTTTCGGTCGTTTTTTAACCCACTTCCCGTGATCCAATCGAGCTGACATTTTGCACACAGACTCGTTGTGCGAGACAATTAATGTTCGTGAAAAAAAATTCCAAAATTTTACACTGTTTAGGAAAAAACAAATTAAATATTTAATTACCAATTGCTTAATACTGGCAGACAATCATCTGACCCATAGGTGGCAGCCATCTCAAGCCAGAGGACGAGAAGACTCGAGCCGCCACGCATATAAAGGATTTATAGTAAAAAACTTTGTTTACACGGGTTATACTTATTTTGTGTTCCGGTTGTGTCACGACGCGTCGATCGGCACGATGTCTGATGTTTCGCTGCGCGTGCCGCCGAATGGGGAGCTTCTTTAAACACTCTGGAGGACGCGCACAGCCCGAGAGCGAGAGACGGAGAGGGTTCTTCCGTCCGGGGATGAGAGAGCCTTGGGTCGTTGTGGATCGAAGGTGTTCAAGGTGTTCACTTCAAGGAGACTCGGGAACTCTGTGGAGACGGCTATCGACATCGCTCAAACCTTCGGCTGCATTTCTTATCATCGTCCCGTTCTTTCCTGTTGTAAGCGCTCGTAATGATTATTAAACAGCATCAACGCGTTAAAATATACTGCTCATGTTGCCTACATATGGTGAGCATACGCTTATTAAATAGGCAGACCGCCTCAGGGGTGGCATATCTGTCGATTAAATGCAATCGGAGTGCATGATGAAGTAAGGGGATATTGACGGCGTGTTATGATCGTGATGTTGGATGCGCTCGTTATTTATATTGTCTCGTTTTATTCCGTCACCTTTCTATGCATTGCGGGTTTTCGCCGTCACGTTTGTGCCAGTCTCGTTGGCTCAATTCTGTCACCTTGATCTTGTTTGTGAGTTTTCTCTGTCTCGTTTGTGCCAGTCTTGTTGGCTCAATTTTCTCAAGATGCAACAGCGTTTCATTTGCATGAAGTTAAAATGCACGCAACGATGTATATTCACGCAATAACGTTGAGAAGGCCTTTAGCAAACCACTGCTGGATGAGGCCCTCCCCCACGCCGTGTCAGTCACGTGCTTCTGTTTGACCATACTTCACCACGCTGGTCAATGCGGGTCCCCTTAAGAAAGGGGGCAGGACCGGTTCAGATATCGCTCGCCACAGATCACAGCCAGGGTCAGGAATCAAACCCAAGTCACTGGTTTCACACCGCAGTGCACGTGACCGAGAAGTTGTCGCCGAGCAAATGGACCGCGTTCTTCTCGAGCGAGCACGTCATGCAGAGGAGATGGAGCGATTAAATCAACTCCGTGCAGCAGGTGCTTTGTGGATTTTGTGAGGGTTAGAAGACCTTCAGCCAGCAGTGGATTGGCTCTGGTTTGATTAAATACATAAAACATGTTCTCACACGCTATCCAACGCACGTAACCGTGTGCCTTAACAATGATTATTAATCGATGATCGTTACATCAGTATGCACTCGGGGGGCGGCGGGGGGATAGATTCATCAGCGCGGCAGGCATTGGCTAATGGTGACACATACATTGGAACATTGATACGTACACGCGTTGGGCTGTTAATATACAAATTAGGATGAGCCCAAAGGCGCGTGCTTGTAATTGGCTCTCGGCTGCCGGGACAGGGCGTGCGCAAAGCATCTCCCCTTCGTCAATTGTCCAAGCGCATTAACATCGAGGGAGGAGCTAATCACGCTCTTGCTCGAGCGAGATACGGAGACGGGGGATGAGAGTGAACGATAGCTGACGGCGAAATAGCCCACAGATGAACCGCAGGGGGAGGGGGGGTATATTTATACTTTGTAAATAGCATTGCCCGAGTACTCTTGACGAACGTGATGAATTGTTCTCATTGTGTCATTAGTTCTCGTGCACCACTGCCAAGCGCAGAATCACAACAACGCGCGCTTTATTTGCAAGGCGCTGAAGATACGTTCTAAGACATCACTGTGACTCGGCGTGCAGCAATGCGGAGGGTGAGGAGGGAGGGAGGGGCTAGCAAATATAAGCGAGAGGTATAGGTAATTATGGGTTAACAGAGAGAGAGGGGGGGGTTAGATGGCTGAGATCGTCAACAATAAGCCAGTTGGAGAGTTACAAGGCGACGGAGGGAGGGGGGGGGGATAGGCACAAACTTGAAGCCAACAATCCGTGTGCCCTCTTGTTTTGAATTTCTGCCAGAAACCACGTAAGCCTGCGGTATAATCTCACGTTATTATTACTAGGCAGGTGTTAATGACGGAGGAGGCTTGAGAAGGAGTGATACCTTCCTTACTATCAAGAAAATTAGTATATACGTGGCCAAACGTACTTATTGAACTCGTACACAGTACAAGCTTAATGGTGCTGTGTGTTGCTGGCCGCTGGGCGTATCGGGTCTTTGTGGCTGTGCGCGACAAAGGGCGAAAGACCAACAACACAGCCCCGTAGCGAGAGAGGAGGAGAGCAGAGCGTGAAATCTTGTGAAATTTTTCATTTAAAAAGGAAGGGGGGCACATAAAGCAAAACATTAAAAAAACACAAAAAACCCGAAATGATGAACGAAGCAAAGTACCGACTACACCGAGCATCTTCTTGTTTCCTCTGATCGTAAAAAAAGAGAAAGAGAATTGGACAGACCGTCGGGGTAAGAGTAGACAGAGCTACTTACACACTGAACTAAGACAATCTGAGGGGCGTGTTAACAAATCTAAAGACGAGAATAGACCCGAGTCGAGGCAGGAGATAGAGAGAGAGAGGGCGGGCGAGCGGGCGGTGGTGGAGCGAGCGAGCGAGAGAGGGAAGAGAGGGTGGAGTGACAGAGCGAGCGAGGAACGCTTGGGAGTGGAGAGCGCGGAGAGGAGGGAGATAGGGGAGGGGAGGGAGAGAGAGAAGGGGAGGAGGAGAGGGCGGAGAGAGAGAGGAGTGGGAGGGAGGAGAGAGAGGAGTGGGAGGGAGGAGAGAGAGGAGGGGGAGGGAGGAGAGAGAGAGACGAGGGGAGGGGAGAGCGAACAGGACTTCGTCATTCCCCGACAAAACTAATAATCTCCGCCGACCTGCTGAGACCTTTCACGACCTCCTCCAGAAATCAATATCGCCTACAGCGAGGCCGTCACAGCGCGCTAAACGGAATCTTAAAGGAACACTTTACATTGCTACTGTGCTGCTGGTGCCTAGGCGGTGCTGTTGCGAGTGGTGTGGTACCCGTGCGTATGGCACGCTGCGCGCCGTGCTGCTACTACTGCTGCTGTTGTTGTTGTTAGAGCCCCCAGTGCATGGGTAGCGAGTGTCGTTGCGAGATTGCGTTCACCTGCGGAACGCGTATTAAAGTTTGATCAGAACACGCAGCGAGAGAGAGAAGCTACATCGAGATTAGCCCAGAGTGAGTCCACTCGGCGTGCTGTAGACTACACGGAGAGAACGCGTTCTGTAAACACTACGATCATCTGGACTTGTCATTTTTTTTCCTTCCCCTCTGGCGGGCACTTTTGCTTTTTTCCAACAAGGCAACGAAAGCGAGGCGAACGCCTAAACAGAAGCAACCTCTTCCAAGCTGCCGCCAACAGCTGCTGCCGAGTACGCGAACAAAAGCGAGACGCGCTGCCCAAGATAAACGTCGCGCGTTGCGCCAACACGACTTTGCCGACAACTCGGTGCGTGCGTTGCGTGCGCATCGTCGGCGTGGGCTCTTTAAAGAGTGTGACAACGATCAAGTCGTATAGCGAGGCGGTCATCCGCGCATAGAAGAACATGGCCTTCTCACAGCAACAGCAGCAAGGATATCAGCTCCGATTTGTACAGCAGCCCGGCTCTCCTCCCTCGCTTTACGCGGGACTGGCCGGCATCGCCGACAGACTGCCGCTGCCTCTGCCTCATCCTCCTCCTCCCGCCGCCGTGGGGTCGGCCACGTCTCCTCCTTCGCCCGTCCGGCCGTCGTCTCAGCCGCAGAACCCCGCGCAGCCATCCCACCATCATCACCACCACCATCACCAGCATCAGCACCACCCGATCCCGCCGACTTCGGCGCCCGCGCCTCCTCCTCCTCCTCCGCCGACCTCTCTGCTCAGCCTGTACGCGGCGGGCTCGTACGGCGCGCATGGCTACTACATGTCCTACCCGGCAGCCGGGCCCATCGGAGGCGCCGACCTGGGGCTGTTCCCGCATCTGGTGGGTGGGTGGGTTGGGTCCGTGCGTGCGTGCGTTTGAAGGGATGGGTGAGTTGGTGAGCGAGTCGGTGGGTGAGCGAGTTGGTCGAGTGGTTTAATGAGTTAGTGGCTGAGTTGGGTGGATGAGCGAGTGGGTGGGTGAGTGACTGAGTGAGTGGATGAGCAAGTGAGCGATTGGGTGGGTGAGTTAATGAGTGAGTGGGTGAGTGAGTGAGTGAGTGGATGAGCAAGTGAGCGATTGGGTGGGTGAGTTAATGAGTGAGTGGTTGAGTTGTTGAGTAAGGGGGTTGGTTCGTTAGTGAGTGAGTGGTTTAGTTAGTGTGTGGTTGAGTTGGTGAGGGAGTAGGTAAGTGAGGGGATACCAGGGTGAGTCGGTGGATACGCGAGTGAGTGGGAGAGTTTGTACCTGAGTAAGTTAGTTGATGGGAGTGTGATTATGTGAGTGAGAGATGGTGAGTGGGTGGGTGAGTTGGAGGGAAGGTGAGTGCGTTGGTGAGCTGGTAGATGAGTGACCTGGTGAGTTAGGTGAGTTACTAAGTAAGTTGCTGAATGATTAGTTGAGTTGGTTAGTGAGTTGATGCGAGCTTGAGTTGGTTAGTGCACGAGTGATTTAATTGATGAGTTGGGGAGTTAAAGATTGAGTTGGCGGGAGTGGTTATGGAGTAAGCTGGTGGGCAAGTTGATGGGTTTGGTTCTTGATGAGTGGATGGTGAGCGAATGAGTCGATGAATAGGCGATTGAACATTTGGATGAGTGAGCGAGTTGATGGTGGGTGAGTGAATGAGTAAGGTAGGTCAACGAGCGTGTGAGTGAGATAGTTTGTAGTTGACGGAATTAAGTGGTGGGGGAGGGAAAGGGTTAGGCAGTGGGTGAATGGTTCAGTTGAGTGAGTGAACGAGTTGTTGAGTGAATTAATGAGCAAACCGAGCTGGTAAATGGATGGACGAGCGAGTGAGTTGCATTCTGGGTAGATGAGTGAGAGTGGGTAGATGTGCGAGTGATCGAGTGAATATATGGGTAAGTGTGCGAGTGGGTAAGCCCATCGATGAGTTTAGTGGATGAATGAGTGTGGGTGAGGTATTAGTGTGAGTTGATGGGTGGAAAGGGAAGCGAATGGCTGATTAAGTGAACCGGCAGATGGGCGCGTGTGTGGATTAGTGAGATAGAGTGAGTGAGCAAATGATCGCGTGTGCGTTGGTGAGTTAATGGGTTAGAGTATTGATCACTGGGCGAGCGCATGAATGACCAGGTTTGCGCGTAAATTAGCAAGCGAATTGGTGAGCAATTGAGTTCGTGGGTGAAATAGCAGGAGTGAGTGTACGCGTATGTGCGTGTATTATTATCGAGTGTACTAATTACGTCGAGAATGAGTTTGCGAGAGGGGGATGAGCGAGTGTGTTCACGTGCGCGGCAGATGTGATGATTCATTGCTAATGGAGTGTGGACTAGAATCGTAAATGACCGAGTGCGCGTACATGCGTTCGGTGTCGCGTGTGTGTACTCGAATTAGGTCGACTCGGCCGCAAATGAGTACCTAGTGTGGTGTGTAAACATCGCCGCGAGGGAGACAAAGGCGGTCGGGTGTGCCCACCCCATCGCGTGACGTGCCGTTGCGGCCTTGATGTGTGCTCGCTCTAAGCACTTGTCCGAACAGTGTGCTACGGCTATAGGGTGATCTTTGTCTCTATGCGCGAGTTATAGTAACGGCGGTTGCACGACCGAGTGAACGAATTGAAGAACGAATGGAATGTGTTGGCGAACGAGTTAGTAGATGAGTGACGGCGAACGTGTGAGTGAGTAGATGATTGACAGGAAAAGAGGGGGGGGAGTGAATTGTGAGAACGGGTGAGTGAATTCTGGGGGGGGGGGGGGGGGTTGAATGAGCAAATTCACTGGCGGGCAAGCGAGTGAGCGAGCCAGTGAGTGAATGATCGATCGTGAATCTGTGAGTGAGTGAATTATCGATCGTGAATCTGAGTGAGTGAATGATCGATCGAACGAGTTGCGTCTCGAATGAGCGACTAATGCGGCTTTTGTTAACCATGTCAACCGTGTACACGACAACGCATGCCCGCTTCCTTGTCGAATCAAACCAGGCGATGTACACAAACTCACCTGTACGTACAAAGACACAGATCCCCCGTATAGCCTTAACAGATTGTCGGGGCAAGTGCCGTCACCATACTCGGACGCACATCAATTGAATGCACTCACCGCACCCACGGTTTGTCTCGTGCTAATCCCGTGCATAGCGCCGTGCACGTGGAAGAACTGACGGGCTTGACGATCCACAGAATTCGCACAGCACAGACAATTGGTTGTAAAATGATTTAGCGTTCACACGAACACGGCCATGGCAGTGTGTTAACGTCAATGCCGTGTCACGAAACGTAGGAGGTTACGGGAGCGCATAGCGTACAGCATCATTATATAATGTATCGAGTTACATAATGTTGATGATGTACGTATATGTGTACGCGATTAATCTATCTCACACGGTATATATATATTTTTTTAAACACCGCGTGTATAATACAGGACACATAGTGATAAATTAATAGGATGTTGTAATATATTTACCACCCGTGTTGTCAATCCACTGCTGGATGAGGGGGGGCAAATCTTAATTTGGAGCTTTCGTGACTGCAGGAATTACTCTTTGGTTCTTTCGGTAAAGTCACGCCAATGCGAGTCGTGGGGGTCATTTGTCCATACTTCACCCCGCTGGTCATCTTGTAGGGCGAATTAAGAATTAAATCCAGTTGCGGGTGCTAAATAATTATGATGATGCACCGCTACAGTTTGTTTATTGTACATGCGATACATTAAAATCGCGTTGTTGTATTATGATAGACGATATGCCGTGTATGTTACCGTGAGCAGGAACATATGTGAATTATAAGATGTGTAATTGCACGCCTTTGTCATGTGTGTCAGCCGTAGAACACGAAGTGTTTTGTTTACGCATTGGCAATGCTGCATTCCCACGCGCATCAGCCAAGCCGTACACATTTATACATGCGCGTGTGTGTGTACGTGTGATTATCTGTGTGTGTGTACGTGTGATTGTGTGTGTGTACGTGTGTGGGGGGGGCGGTAGTGTAGTGCTTTTGGTGCGCTGCGCTACGAACCCGGCGACCCGAGTTCGATTCCCGCTCACGGCCAACACCGGTGACGATTATTTGAACCGGTCCTGGGCCTCCCCTAGGTCGACTCGGCCTCAAATGAGTACCCGGTCCGGTGTTGTAAACGTCGCCACTGGGGAGACAAAGGCAGCAGGGCGCGTGGTGCTCGCTAACGGCACTTGCCCCACAAGTCTATGAAGCCAAGGCTGTATGTTGTGTACGTGAGCGTAAACAACGCAATCTGTGTATTTGAAAATGTATGCATCGGGGGTTCATTGTGCATCCAAATTTCTAAAAAGTACATTTGAACCGTGATATAAAGATGCACACACACATGACTGCAGTAAATATACATATACGTATCACAACCTGTACATACAACTTTATATAGATACGTGTGTATTATATAAACAGCATACGTTCACACATTCAGCGTAATTTACATCATGCTTCCACACGTATTATTCATACGTGTGGATTACGCCAGATTGTCTGTGTGCACTGCGTGTGCTTAACGTGTCGGTGTACGTGGTTCCTATGTAACTCAGCGCGCATGCACGCATACACAGAACCTATATCATACATTACCCAACATTTTAATGTATACGTGTGGATTATGCGAATATAACTCTACGTATACGCACACGCTGGCGTGTTTACACGTCCGTGTAAAAATGGGTGCTTCGGTTCGACGAATCGGATTGTATCTGTGGGATACGGTCGAGTTTGTTCTTATTCACTTCCTCGGAATCAATAAACACTGGGAGGGAGGGGGGGTCTCAAAGCAATTTTTGTTCACATTACAAAAGTCGTTGTAACACAAAGTCCGGATCGGTAGCAAACAAAAACTACACGAATTATTGTCTCGAGAAGGGAAGTCCTTTCGTCGTGGCGAGCACAACTGGACATTGGCATCTGACATCCCTGGACATTGGCATGATATGCTAGAATAGAGTTGTGAATGAATGACATTATTAACGACCGCGTATGAAGCGCGCGCGTGTGTGTTTTATGGTGTGTGTGTGTTTTATGGTGTGTGTGTGTCGACTCGGCCTTAAATGAGTACCTGGGGCTGTGTGCAAACATCGCCACTGGGGAGACAAAAGCGGTCGGGAGTGGTGACAGCCACCAACCCCCCCCCCCCCTCGTGTGCCGTGGCGGCCTTCATAGGTGCTCACTAACAGCACTTGCCCCAACAGTCTGTTACAGGCTACACGGGGAAACTTGGTCTTTGTGTGTATATACTGTATACCAGTGTGTGCGTTTTAGTATCAATTGTTGAGTGGTGTATTTGTGCGTATTTTACGTGCACTATTTATATTTTTTTATTATTATTATATAAATATAATTTTTGATATTAATGAGAATCAAAAACTACGGTAAACGGGTGATGCGTTTGAATAACCAACTACACATATACATAAACTAGCAATTGATATAACTTTACCGGTATATTTTACATATTTCGTGTGTGTACCCTATGGTATGTATGTATCACGCTGTATTTGATAGTGTAGGCAAGTGTACATTGTAATGCGTGATACATTTCTACTTTATATACGTGTGTGCATCGTATATGTGTCAAACGAGCGAAACGCATCTGTATACGAGTACACGTGTATGTGATCTAATTATTGTACTATACTTCTCACACGTCTCCGCTGTGAGCCTTCACCAAGCCGTAGTGACCACCGCGGTGAACTATGGTCAAATAACTCTCCGCTGCCCGTGCGGCAGCGGCGTGGGGAGGAGACACTCATCCAGCAGTGGATCGACAAAGGGATTGTAGATCTAAGTGCCTGGACCGTATAGTTGTACGTTGTACGTGTAGCGTGCGTCTCATGTACATGGCACCACGGGTGAGTGTGTGTTGCCA